TCTGGATGGAGTTGACAGTTTGTGCTGAGGACAGATTCAGTGCCAGTAACTCGCGGAAGGACAGGCGGTATGCGGATCTGGCCGATCAATGCCGAGCAAACGGGTGGCAGGTCGTTTCTTTTTCGGTTGAGGTAGGTGTGCGTGGTTTCATCCCGGACTCTCTTCGGAGGGCTCTGAAAGCGCTTGGGTTTTCTAATCGAAGAATAAAATTTATTTGTAATTTGTGCAGTAAGACGTCTCTGCGAAGCAGCTACATCATCTGGTTGCGGCGTCAACAAAAACACTGGTCGGAAGATCCACTTTTCTGAGGTACTGTATGTGGGGCTCCGTTTATTGAGGTGCGTTGAAATTTATTCTCTTTATCTTATTATTTCTTTTCTATAATTTCCCCATATGAGTTCCTATCAGTTGCTGTGAACACCTTGAGTGGAGAGCGCTTGCTCGAGCGTTGAACCGGGTTCTTAATCCACCATACCCAGTTCGCAAGGCTGGGCGGGGTTGTGAGCAGGCTTTCATTTCATCTTTTCTTATTATTTCTTATTATTTCTGCTTTTCATCTCATTACAAAAATTCTGCGCTTTTTCTCCATCTGCGCATAAAATCTAGACTGACAACCTGCTTGTTAAATCATGCACCTGCTTTCAGGCGTAAAAACCCTGTTGTAGAGGTCTCAGTCCTCATTTGTTAGACTTACCTGTCTTTATAAATGTAACTTACTCTCTCTCTCTCTCTCTCTCTCTCTCTCTCTCTCTCTCTCTTTCCATAAGTTCATGGCACTGTGCCTCACCACAACTGCCCTTTTTTATTGGATACACTGTATCTGTGCCGGTTTCGGTCAGCAAATCCAAATAAAATCATCATCAAAATCATCTCTTTGTTTGCTGTTCCAGTGGAGGCGAAAGTCATTGATGTGTTCTAGTGTTTTGTCCAGTTTCATTGACCAAGACAGCAGAAATGATATATGTGGCACGCATCGGTAGGCTTCATACTCGTACACTAGATCATCAAACACTCACCTCGGATGCAACTATGTTGTATGTGTCAACGGAGCAAGCGCCGCACAGTACCCCATTTCGGTCCATACCACTCTTGCATGGATCCTGGTCTTCCTCCATGGTCCATTTCCTAGAGCTGTTACACAGTCCATTATCACAGATTGCCGTGCCAAACGGAGTCCCTTGGTCCGAATACCCAAACGGGTCACCATGCTTTTCCACCTCAAATTCTTCCAGAGTGTAGTTCTTGAATGTTGCTCGTCGCTCCAGGAAAGGGATGGTGTGGTGGTTTGCAGGCCCTGCCCAATACCCACTCTTCACGTTGATGCTCTTTCCTTCCTTACAGGATTGCACACCCGGGTCCACGGGCTTTGCATAGGCGGGACATTGGCACATCAACGGGGACAGAATCTGTTCAACCTCAGCCCCGGACTGCCGCGTGTAGTGATAACGTGAAATGATGCCTTTGCTTCTTGCCCTTGTGGAATTTCTAACGTAGGTTACCACATCCTATTGAAACAAGCCAGACACAGCAGCAAAGTCAGGTAAAAGAACAAACGCTGGGTAATAATTCGCTATTGATTGTAGCACGCATGCATCCATTGTCTTTGGTATTTGCTGGATTGAGCGCTAGCTGAAAGGGGATTTCTCCTCCACGCTTAACCTAGAAAGAGCATCATTTTGAACTGTCAATGATTACAAGTTATCTCAACCTCATCGATGCGCTCTATGCCTCTGGAGCTTAGCATATGCCTAGCTCTCTGGACTCAGTTACCTCTTCCAAACTCGGAGCCCGAAAGCCCAAGTGGCATCTTCTGATCTTGAATGGAATCTTCAACGCCAGCATTCCCTTCTCTGGCATACGCATTACATTTTCTCCGGTCTTGGTCACCAAGATGTATCCAGTGGAATTGGCCAGTCCAAGAAGGCTCAGACTGTTTATGGCATGCGTGGAAGAAAATCTCACTTTCTCACCACGACCATACTGGATACCATTGCAGCCCAGCAGTACATCGTCTTTGTCCGCTACCACCTGCAGCAAGGAGAAGCATGCCGGGACAAGAAACTAGCATATGCCAGACGGATATGGGCTGGGTGTATAGAATAATGGTTTTCAGCCCTGCAGGCTCTACATGCCTGCTACCATGCCATACATAATGCATTGGCGATACATTATTATTATTCGGTCTACGTCACAGGAATTTCTATCAACCTGTTGAGTCACATGCCTGTACACACTCGCATTGCCGTATGCACTGAAAATTGAGGCGGGTCATATCATGCTCACCAACCTGATGTTCTATGGCACGTTAGCAATGCATCACGCGCCAGAATGGTGTCTGACAAAATGGCTCCTGCAGTGTATACCTATTAGTTCAAGCCATTTGGGTATGATTCATCTTGAAATCAAAGATAATAAGCCCTATTCAAGACTGGCTATTTCTGCAATTGGCACTATGTTTCGGTGTTTTTACAGCGCGAGTCTTGCGGTTACAAAGAGCTTTAAACCATTGGAGCATCCTTTGTACTAGTCTAGTGGATAGCAAAACAAAAAGGTCAGCTAGTCAGCATGAGGACTTTAACAAAACGGACTGCAGTATTGGTAGGCTCTTCTTTTGACCATAAGAAACCAGGCAACACTAGTGAACGGACAGCCAAAATGAAGTTGGCATCAACGAGTTAAAGGGGAAGTGCATCGATTTTTCAAGTAGGGCTCAGATGAAAGACAATTGGATATCGGTTCCGATGGTATATCTCTCGCTTGCGTACGGCAAGGGAAACTTGCCATATCGCCGATTTCCTGATCCCGTTTCCATGGCGACTACAGGTGATGACGCACATTCTGCTTAGCTCCGTGAGAGAGAGAAGGTCGATCACTGAAGAATTGTGTCATTTTCAGTAGTCTTCTTGTATTCACGAAGTGAAAGAAGTACTGTGTTCAAGGCTGTTGGTGCCGTGAACTGTTTATTAGTAGTCCTCTCCGTTGTGTACTGGGACGTGACACCGACAGGGGAAAGCTGGAGTGCGGAGACGTTAGCTGGCAAGCGAAAATCGTGACGAACCAAGTGCTGAAATCTTGGTTGGGACAAATCAAACGTTCGGCATTTACCTCAACCAAGGACCATGCCGTTTGCTCTTTCCACTTCCTGAAGATGGATGCGCAGCCTGATGGAGACTCTCCTATCTCTCATAACATTTTCTGAAGCCAGGTGAGACGACGAGTAGCGGAGATTAGCGAACGAAATAATGTCGTGTGTTTTGAAATTTTTGCTGAACATTTCTCAGGAGAGATGGCAAATACCAAGGATCTTCTCCAAGTCTAGAGAAACCATTTCGTAGGCTACATCCCGCCTAGGGAAATGCAGGAGATGGCCTGGCTGGGGAGGACACACTTGGAGGAGAACGAAGTAAGTGATCTTGTTTATGTTGTTCTTTGGTATTGCAATCTTATGTTTGACGAACATACGACATGGTGCATAGTTGGTCGTTGAGTGCCTGCATGTGCATGTATAAGTGTGTGCTGATAAACACTTCCTATGCAAGAATCTGACACTCATGCTCTCTTTCTTTCTTGCAGTATGTGCGCACGGGTGTGTGTGTGTGTGTGTGTGTGTGTGTGTGTGTGTGTGTGTGTGTGTGTGTGTGTGCATGAGCAGCGTGGAGCATGCCAGTGTGATCGCTGTGGCCGTTGCTTTCTTAGCTGTGGCGTTCTTGCCCGTCACAAGTGTGTGGCTCAGCCCCCCCCCCCCCCAACGACAGTGGAGCCGTGTTGTGGTGAATACTGTGTGTCCTGCGACTGCTGCTTCCGTTCGGTCCAGGGCAGGAATAGACACCGCTGCTGAAGCTCTCCCCGGCCGTACGTCAGTCTCGTGGCAGATGACCCAAACTCTCATTTTGTGTGTATGTGTGTGTGTGTGTGTGTGTGTGTGTGTGTGTGTGTGTGTGTGTGTGTGTGTGTGTGTGTGTGTGTGTGTGTGTGTGTGTGTGTGGTGTATGTATATGTATGTGTGTTGCTCCCTACGTAGACAAACTCTTGTTTTTGTGTGTATGTGTGTGTGTGTGTGTGTGTGTGTGTGTGTGTGTGTGTGTGTGTGTGTGTGTGTGTGTGTGTGTGTGTGTGTGTCATGAATCTGACTCTTTGCGATGTGATGTTTGTCGCCGCTCTTTCCGCTCTCGTTCTGGTTTGAGCCGTCATCACTGTGACCGTGCGAAACGGATGTCACGTGCAGCCAGGAACAACTGCCGTCATGAATGCGAGCATTGCGAAAGACGGTTCTCAAGGCCACAGGACTTGCAACGCCATGCCAAATATTGTTGACTTTGCGATTTCTCTCTCTTCTCTTCTCTCTTCTTGTCGTTGTCTCCCGCTTCTGGGAGCGGCGTGGCCCGATAGGGTAGCTGTACATAGTAGTAGTAGTAGTAGTGTGTGTGGTGTATGTCTATGTATGTGTGTTGCTCCCTACATAGACAAACTCTTGTTTTTGTGTCCCGGGCGCCATGGGGCGGCGTTCTCCCATTCTCTCTCCACTGCCCCTCCGGGCCCACGTGGCAGTGACTCGACAGGGCAGGACAAGTGTGTGTATGGTGCATTTTGTGTGCTGGCATGTCTGTATAAATATGTTGGACAGGAATTTGTTCACCCGTAACGTTCACGGAAAACCATGCTAGGTGTTGCTGGAACGTATGGAGTCTGGGAGCACTTACAATAACTTACGTCATGTCACAACAAAGAACGGTGCAGTGTTTGACCATCATGTAAACACGATGGTGATGGTACCTCACCTAAGCTACCCATGAAACTAGAAAGAACATCAGGTCAACAGAATTTTACCAGAGGAAAGCATCTATTGCCCGAACTTCTTCATATGAAATGAACAATACCCTTCTCCATAGAGACAACATGCAGATGAAGTGTATGGACAAACTAATTAGGCCATTCACTGAGGGCATGGAATGATCTCTACGTGTAGACTGGATAGACACATGCACGTCTGCAAGGAAAGCATTTGTTCCTGGGTTAGTTCATGGGCTGATTGAGTTCACATGGACTAAGTTCATACATGCCATCTCTCCTGAGATTTGTTCAGCAAAAATTTCAAAACATACGATATTATTTCGTTCGCTAATCTCCGCTACTCGTCGTCTCACCTGGCTTCAGAAGATGTTACGAGAGATAGGACAGTCTCCAGCAGGCAGCGCATCCATCTTCAGGAAGTGGAAAGAGCAAACGGCATGGTCCTTGGTTGAGGTAAATGCTGAACGTTTGATTTGTCCCAACCAAGATTTCAGCACTTGGTTCGTCACGATTTTCGCTTGCCAGCTAACGTCTCCGCACTCCAGCTTTCCCCTGTCGGTGTCACGTCCCAGTACACAACGGAGAGGACTACTAATAAACAGTTCACGGCACTAACAGCCTTGAACACAGTACTTCTTTCACTTCGTGAATACAAGAAGACTACTGAAAATGACACAATTCTTCAGTGATCGACCTTCTCTCTCTCACGGAGCTAAGCAGAATGTGCGTCATCACCTGTAGTCGCCATGGAAACGGGATCAGGAAATCGGCGATATGGCAAGTTTCCCTTGCCGTACGCAAGCGAGAGATATACCATCGGAACCGATATCCAATTGTCTTTCATCTGAGCCCTACTTGAAAAATCGATGCACTTCTCCTTTAATACACAGCACAGGCAGACACAAGCATGCACAGACACAATATACGAGGCCATGCTGACACCAATATGTGACGCAAGTCTGCTCTCAAAAGCCTGGTTCTAGAGCAAGTATTGCACCTCTCTTGTCATAGGCAAAGCTGACCAAGTTAGACCAACAGGACTTTTAAAACTGACGATGTCAGAAGTCAACAAATAACAACTTCCGGGTCAAACTGGGTCCTCTCTGACCATAGCGAAGTTGAGTACCAGTACTTCAAAACTATAATTATGGCGGGCAGGCCCCTCGCATGGCATGAACATGTGATTTGCGTGTACCACAAACGGGTCCCCGATCGGAGAGGGCTCAATCCAGTCGCTACCGTCGGATGTGTCACTACGCCGTGAAGTAAACTACCTTTTAACGTGTACAGATCCGTAGAAAACACGATCCAAACAAATCCAATAGTAATAGCTGTCATGACTACAGCCTGACTGATACGGACATGTACGAGTACGAGTTGTATTTTTATTTATTTATTTCTGCACCTCGTAGCATGTCAAGACAGCCAATTGAATTGAGGAGAGGGTGAGACCAACCACGGAAGAAGAGAAAAAGAAAGAAAGAAAAGAAGAGCAAGTACACAAAAGGGTAGGGATTAGCAAGTCACAAAGAAACGGGATGCCCAGCGAGCTATGCAGCGGAAGTGGTGTGGCTGTGATTTTGTTCACTGGGCTACTCGCCTGGATAACTAGTTATCTCTCCGACCGAAATTAGCGCGTCACAGTTAATGGAACTTTATCTGACCCCGAATCTGTGACGTCCGGAGTACCCCAGGGCTCCATTTTGGGTCACCTGCTCTTCGTCACATACGTTAATGACCTCCCCTATGCAATTCCCAATATTTCTTTGTATGCAGACGATACCACTGTCCTTGCTTCCTCCCCATCTCACGCTACCCTGTACCCTAAAGTTCAAGTGCACCCTGGTTCATTTCATTTTTCTTGACCAGCACCCTGCTCATTTCCAGTCACTTAATTGGTTTACGTCGGGTGGTACCACCCGAAGCCGCGTTCGTCTCCCGCTTGCTAGGTCTACCCTATTCGCAAATTCCCCATTCTTTTCCTCCTACTCCACGTGGCTCCAACTGCCTCCCAGTGTTAGGCAAGCTCCAGATATGCCCAAATTCCGTACCCTCGTCAGACAGCACTTCAGTATCTTAGATATTCCGGCTGGTGCCCAACTGACCAGACGGATGCACAGGGTCTGAGTCTTGACAGCCTCTTCTCATGCTATTATTTGACCCAATCGGTGACCTTCCCCACCCGCCTCAGCTCGTCTGGACTTGGCAGCTGTCTAGACCTTATCGCGAGCAACATCTCTAACCAACTCAACCACATTCAACATCTGACCTCTTGGCGCATCAAACCATGCCGTCCTGATGGCTGAGTTCTCCGTCTCAACGTCTTCCCCCACAGCAGCCAGCACCTGTCTTAGCCCACCATCTGCACAAAGATACAATGTCCTGAGTGCCATGGATAACATGTGGAATGCCATGAATGTCTTTCTCGCAGATGTACCCTGATCTCAGGTCCTTGCTTCCCACTGCATCGACACGACTGTCTCCGCATTCACTGACATCCTCGAAGATGCCTTGGACCTATATATTGGAAGATCCTCACCTGATCGTCACAAACCCTGCCCCTGGATGACCGCTTAACTTAAAGCAGCTATTAAAGTCAAGAGTGATCTCTACAGCATTTACCAGAAATACCCATCCCCAACAAATCTCAACAAATACAAACACCAACGCAACTACTTCCTCCGTTAACAAAAACTTCGTGATGGATTTTTGAGGGACTCCTTTGCACACAAACTGCCGTGAAATGAGTCGCGATCACTTTCTCGGCCTTCTCTCGCATGCCATGAAAGAAGTACGATGCAAGGAAAGCGACCTTTCACAACAAGTCGAGCGGAATCGATGGTTGCGATGTGGCAACACAGGTGATGACAGTCATGGCGAGCGAAACCGAAATACCACTTCTCCGAGGGGATAATGCGCTGCTTAGCCTCTCTACTAATCTAGCACTGACTTAGAGAGTTATAGAGAGCGATGGAACGGAGCAGCGATCCTACACAATGAGCGAGTGAACAAGGAGCTGCTTCAATCGCACGGTGCAATGAAATAATTCTGAATTCAAGTTCTTGTTCAACCTGTGCCAAGCCCAGATGCGAATGTTGATGACCATGCATTCTTTCAGAAGTCTGCAACCCGGCGCGAGTCTCATGGCTACAGTTGAAGTCGCCTGATATCACAAGGGCTTCGGGCTTCCTTTGAGTTGATTGCAGGGCTATTTGGAAGCGGTCCAGAAAAGTCGAGAAGTCATCCGGCGACGGGGAAGGAGCACGGTAGACACATGCTACTGCTAGTTGGGGTGTTGGCAGGTCAGAAGGTGAGACAAGCTTATGTTCAGCGAGAGCCGAAGTGCTAGCGCTTCCAAGCCCGGTTGCTGAAAAGCCGATAGCTGCTCAATGGAAGTACACAGACCTTCACAAACTGGGACTAGAACTCCTCCGTACCCCCCGGTGTGGGTCACAGTTCTGTCTATTTTCTAAAACAAGTCGCTGGTCTCGACGGAAGCATTCATAGTGTGGCATGTGGAAAGCTTGTGTGGGAGTTAGCCAGGTCTCTGTAATGCATATTACGCTGGGTTTGTGATCCTCACAGATCTGAATGAGGCGCCCGACTTGTTTGCTATTGAGCGAGCACTAAGGACACAGATTGTAAGTCGGTGAGGAGCAACATGTGTAGAATGAGGGAAAGGTGGGGCAAGGGCGTTGAGCGGCGCAGGGGTTGAAGTGCACGAGGAGGGAAAGAGGTTACTCATTGGAAGCTACGAATGAGGAGTGAACACAGGGGCGTCGGGATTTAGTCGATGTTGCTGCTTCGTTGTGCATGTTGGTTTGTTAGCATGACAGTTCAGGATCATCGTTGAAGGGTATCAGAGCTGAACCTCCAGGGCCGAACTGTGACCTTGGAAGGCCAGAAGTCTGCGGTCGTTACCTTGCTGAAGTCTTCCGCATCTATCACTCCACGTGAGCGTAAGCTGTGCCAAAGTACTTCGATTCGGAGATACTGCATGATATAATTTCGACCTCGCGATTTTTGCACCAGGTGACGATTGCTTCATAGCAGCATCCTGGATCTATTTCGCCCACATAAAGTGCTGAACGCTTGATGTGCTTTGCACCGCAGAGTTCAGACTTCTCAGTCCGTGTAGGGCACGGTTTCTGGTACGTTGAAGTTGTACTTCGCCTGGGAGGATCCATGTTTGGTTGCTTCTGCTGCATGGATTGCGCGGGAGCAGGTACGACATGTTCAGAACGGTTCTGGTCATGCCTCGTGGCTGCCATTGGAGGTTTTTGTGCATGAGAGGGTGCGGATCCGTGGGCAAGCACATGGCTGTACGAGCCTGTGCCAGGTACCTGAGTGCTTGTGTGGGATGCATATGTGGCAGCTCCTAATACTACAGATGCTTGTTCAGGCATGCTGGGCTTGGGACTGTGTACGGTACAACTACTTGAATTAGAATACGGTATCTCAGAAACCCGCAAGCTTTCCATTTCCCGCTTGAGCTGTGCAATTTAAACTTGTAGTGAGGAAATAGTATCATCTCTGCTGATTCTAATGGCCAACAATTCCTTCGTGAGTTCAAGAACCATAGATGAAAATGCTGCCAAGTTGGAGTTTATCTCTCCTATGTTAGTGGACGTACCTCCGGTAGCGGGGTTACAACTGATTCACTCCTTTCTGAGCGCTGCCACAAGGTCAGGCCGGGAAACTGAGTCAGTTTTCTGTAATTCGCTCCAGGTGGCAAGGTTTTGCAAGTTCTCAAAGGTCAGAAGCGCTAGATCGACACATTCGTTAGTGGCCATGTTGCTACAAAGTTTGATCCACTATCTGCTTCAAATGACACATTCAAAGACAGTTTGGGGTGGAGCTCCAACAACTGTATCCGCTCTCAAATTCAAAAAATGTTTTTTTTCAAGCCCAATATATCGATGCTGGCAGAAGGATGCGTGTTTCGGTAATCGTACAAGTATTTAAAAGTTGGATAATTGTTCTTCATGTGAACAGTTTTTAAAGCATGCATCAGCTTTGCGCTGTCACCATGGAAACTGACAAACCCATGAAAAAAGCAAACAAAACCTGCCTTGATTGAAATGACTCCTGTTCGGATATTCATGACCTCGTCAAGAAGTTGCACAGATAGGGAGAATTCCTCTCCAGATGCTGGATGTAGGGTAATAGCGCTCACCGATTCATCCGATTTGAATGGGAAAGTTATGTTCTGCAGCCGACACGGGGGTGAGCAAACCACATAAACTATGATAGCAATAATAATATCCGTGGGATCCGCGTTAGCATCATTTGAATGTTCAGAAACACACAAACTATAGCCTTCGCTTCCGCAGGCCACCACTATGCCTTTTCACCTTAGTGGCGAAAGCACATAAACTACTCCTTATAAATTAACAGAATTAACTGAGCTACCCTGAGGAGTTTTTTCATCAACCTCCACACCAAAAATCAACCAGACCATCTCCCCCCCCCCCCCAAAAAAAAACTGTACAGGGCTGAATGCTGCTGCTTCCCCTGTTTTCAATACCCCGAGGAGCCCTAATATTCATGGTGACACAGCTTGCTTGCAGAGAGCAGAATAGTAAATTTGGAACGGCGCATAGGTAGGTCCCACATCGTCGTTGTGACCTAACGTAACAGTTATTTGAGCTACAATACAATTTTACTCTCACCGTGCGATGAAAGTATATGTAGCATGGCTAGGAACTCACTACCAATGGCAATGCATTCACTCGGCAAAGCCATCCGAGTGACTTCGACGAAGTTTTGAGGAAACAAAAGATTTATGAAGCTTCACTCCCCAACTCCAATAGTGGTTTCTTTGCTGCGATTTAAATCAGTTTTAGTGGAATATAAGTACATGTGTATGTGGCTGCATTGGAGTTTGAAGACAATAAGAAAACAAAAGAAAAGAAAAGATACATGCAAAACCTGGTATACGCCGTTGACTCAAAATTCGAATGAAAATGCAATCTTGAAATGAAGAGCTGATGCAAAACCCGGCTGCTAAATTCATGCCATCACTTTTCAGATTATGGCCAATAGCGGATTCATTTCATGTGCGGTTTGTATCTAAATCCATATTTGGGTTCCAGTTTTGAAATGAATAAGCGGCGCGGAGACAATAACTTTATTATGGCGATCAGCAGAATCAGCGAAGCGGACATTGGACGTAGTAATCAACAAAAATAAAATATGGACAACGAGAGAGCTTAGAAGCTCAGGGCCCTACCCTATGCTTTTTTGCCTAGCTAGCTCATCATGCATGTTATTAGAACTGATGGAAATGTCTTTTCCATTAATTGGCTACATGAAACTTTCTCTTTGCATTCGAGGGTAATACGACACCGTCTGCCACCTTGATGACCTCGGCAAAAAACGCATAGGGATGTTATAAATTTTTCATTTCTCCTTTTTTTTCAGACATAACCTGGGATTCTAACCCGCACTATCGCTCTGCATGCACTCCCCCGATACACTTCGCATACATACTCATTCTTAAAGGGGAAGTGCATCGATTTTTCGAGTAGGGTCCAGAAGAAAGACAATTTGATATCGGTTCGAATGGCATATCTCTCGCTTCCATCCGATAAGCCAAACTTGCCAAATCGCCAATTGTATGCTCACGTTGCCATAGCGACCAGCGCAGTGATGACGTATGAAAGGCTTAGCTCCTCCACAGAGAAGGTCGATCACTGCAGAAAATGGTCATTTTCAATTGTCTTATTGTATTCACGATGTGAAAGAAGAGCTGTGTTCAATGCTGTTAGTGCCGTGAACTATTTATCGCCCTTCTCATGCATTTCCCTAGGCTGACTGTGCCTAGGAAATGGTTTCCTCCAGGACAAGATGCTTGGAATTCGCGATCTCTCCTGAGACATTTTCAGCAAACTTTCAAACCTACGACATTATTTCATTCGTCAATCTCCACCACCCGTCGTCTCACCTGGCTTCAGAAGATGTTACGAGAGATAGTAGAGTCGCCAGGAAGCATCACATTCATCTTCAGGTAGTGGAAAGAGCAAACGGCATGGTCCTTGGTTGGGGGAAATGCTGAACGTCTGATTTGTCCCAACCAAGATTTCAGCATTTTGTTCGTCACTATTTTCGCTTGTCTGCTGGTGTCTCCGCACTCCAGCTTTCTCCTGTCGGTGTCACGTCCCAGTACATAACCGAGAGGACTACTAACAAACAGTTCACTGCACTAACAGCATTGAACACAGCCCTTCTTTCACTTCGTGAATACAACAAACCAATTGAAAATGACCAAATTCTGCAATGATCGACCTTCTCTGTGGTGGAGCTAAGCCTTTCGTACGTCATCACTGCGCTGGTCGCTATGGCAACGTGAGTATACAATTGGCGATTTGGCAAGTTTGGCTTATCGTATGGAAGCGAGAGATATGCCATTCGAACCGATATCAAATTGTCTTTCTTCTAGACCATACTCGAAAAATCGATGCACTTCCCCTTTAACATGTTTTTCGATTTTGACAGCATGTTACAAAGCGAGGACGCGTAGTGCTCCTGACTACAACCATAACCCGGTTGGCAGAGTCCCGGTCTTGCGACCATTTGAACCGTATTGGGAAAACCCAGGTTCGGACCCTCCTTACTCTAGGGGTTGGTGGGATTCAGAAAAAATTCTTTTTTTGTGTTTTAGATGTCGTTGTGTTGCCGCCGCAGTATTGTTCACGTTGTCGCGTTGCTGCCGCTGTAGGGAACACGTCTGGAAAGGATTTGTGATTGTGATGTTGTTATTTTCTTGTCTTTCTCTGTGATTTGTCATTATGCGTCCTCGCCTTGTAACATGCTGTCAAAATCGAAAAACATGTAAAACTACCAAGAAAGGCTTCTGTGTATATATCATACTCATTCTTCCAAGTTGCTTCACGTTACGATCTTGCATTTGAAAGCCTTATTTGAATATTGCGGCCAGCTGTTTGTGGCCAGCTGTCTTTGATGGTAGGGTACGGTACGGGACTGGTACGGGATAGCGCCAGGTGTGCCGATGGCACAAACAAACAAACACGAAATTAAAGCTGTGTGGATGCCAGACGTTACTGAAGTGACGTTCTTTTGCATAGCTACCAGTTATTACTATTATTATTATTATTATAGGCTTTTCCGCGTTGGCATCGCCAAGCAAGCTTGGCTATCCTTCGCATAAGCTGCTCCATAATGATGAGACGAAACAATGAATGCATGTATATACGATCTAGGACAGAACCAAGGTTGAGGATATTTTTGAAGAAAGCTGCAAGTTGTGTTGAGGAACACAAAGTTGCAAACTCTACGAAAGTAAACTGCAAGAAATGTTTTGGGGTTGATCTCATGATTATTGTAGTCACAGGTTGTGTTAGTAGCATTAAAGGTTGTGTTTTCACAGGTACATTGTTTACATTCCTATTCTTTTACAGGATAATATTTTCACAAAATATGTTAGTCAATGAGTTATGTTATGGTACACCGTACGGCCATGTAGCTGCCACAGGTGGAAGCAGTATTAGGCTTTGATGTATGCTTTTATCACATTGCTGCATAGGTCTTTCCAGTCTTGTCGTGACTGGGAGATGGCATGGAGGTTCTCAAGTTCCTCGCGTTTCTTGAGCGACCCCCCGATACGCTGCAGGTCCTGGTGCAGACTCAGTGGCAGAGTGGTACGTGGCCGGCCCCGCCAGGTGGTAGCGGAACTTGGGTTTTCGAAGTATGCTGCCATCATAACGCGTGCTGGTACATCGTCGTTTAGTCTCAGGACATGGCCAAAGAGCCGCCACCTCGCTCTCACAATGGTTTCCCCAAGGGGCTGGGAGTTGGTGCATTTATACAGCTCACTATTTTTGATGACTTGAGGGTACTTGATCCCGACGACTGTTCGCAATTGACGTCTGTGGAATGCTTCCAATCGCTTGATGACATTGCTTGGGACTCCCCATGTTGAGCAATTGTACAGGAGTATTGGTGTGATAAATGCATTGTATAGCTTGACACGTCTGTTCTCTCTCACCTGCGAGCCTCTCACCCACAGTGCCCAAAGCCGTTGAAACGCACCTGTGGCCAGCTGCATACGCCGAGATACCAGTACAGAGATACCAGTACAGGAACAAAATTTCCTAACAAGTTTTCTAGAGACATTCATCAAGGAAATACGTCTCAATAATGAAATCTAGCTATAAACAACAATATATACGTGGAAAAGTACGAAATGCACTACGTGAAAGAAAATAGGAGAAAAGAAGTTGAAGTGCGAAAGACTAGAGAAGTGTGAACTAATAACAGGGGTGGGTCAAGAGAAAAGAATATGATGAGGAGGTGAGAAATAATAACAATGTGAGACTCAGTGAGAGTGAAGTGTAAGGAGTACGGGCATGGGTGTGTGGGTGGGTGTATGTGTGTGCATATATCTATAGTATGTATCTATTATCGCACGATTAAAGAGGTCAATATATGAAATATAGAACGAGTAAAAGACCGAGGTCCCCCGAGGTCTTTTACGAGGTCTATATTTCATATATTGACCGATTATGAGGGCAATAATAGATTTATCACGACATGGCATACCTAACCTGTTTTATCTGTGTTTATAGGAAGAAATGAATACTATTGTAATAGTACATAGTATGTACGTGTACATATGAGTGATAAATTAACAGTACATAGCAGACACGTGGAGGACGTTCAGGTTAGTTGTAACTCTGAGTTTCATGCCGCTAGGCAATCATCAGACAACTGATACTCGGATTTATATGCTTATAAACACATAGGGCCGCAAGCATAAACAAATTGAGCGCTAAATCTGGTGTCGTAAGACATGGGGAGAAAGATGGCACGGGCCAAGGCGCTAGGGATTGTGTTATTAATTGTTCATTTGATAGGTGTGAAATTTGCGCGACAGAACTTGTTCTGATGCCTGCATTTCGAGATCATCTCAGACAGCTTGTTGAGCAGGAGCTTCTTTGTTGTCGTATTGACCGAGTACTGTACTGCATTTTTGCCTGAGCATCCCAATATCAATTAATAACACCATCCCCTGTTGTTGGCTATGCCACTCTGCTCATGCCTGCCCGTCACCCAAAGACCCCCTAGCGATCTCACTGGCCCATTGCCCGCCATCCTCCTGGCACCTCCACCCATCTGCTGTTCACCCTGCCTCCCCATCGCCTCTGTCCGCGCTTTCATGCTCACACCTGCCTGTTGCCCGCCACCGCC